AGCCCAGGAGAGGGTTGACAGTCTAGAAGGTGGGGCCGATGCACCTGCTCTCCAAACAGCCACCAGGTGCAGCTGGGCAGTGTCCCTACCCCATGAGGGACCAGTTCCAAGCTGCTGCTCACGCCCAGAGGCTGGGCATCCTGACCCAGAGAGCAGTTCAGACCCCAACAAGCCTCCAGAAGGTTGTTCACACCCTCATGGTCTCCACCTCTAACCAGGGTTTAGCACCAACTTGACCTAGGGGTGAGGGGAAGGGGTGGAGAAGAGCATGGGACATGAGCCCTGAAGGAGGTGACAATTCATTCACAACCTTGTTGGATGACAACCTGGGTGCCCATTATCATTAGGGGAGTGACTAGGTAAACAAGCGCTCATCTGTTAGAAAAAAGGAATTAGACACATGTGCACCGGGGAATGCTTTGGCCACCTGATGCAAAGAGCTAACGCACTGGAAAAGACCCTGATGCTGGAAAAGACTGAAGGCAGGAGGAGAAGGGGGTGACAAAGCATGAGATGTTTAGATGGCATCACCGACTCAGGGGTCATGAGTTTGAGCAAACTCTGGGAGATGGTGGAAGACAAAGGAGCCTGGTGTGCTGCAGTCTGTGGGGTCACAAAGAGTCAACACGATCTGGCAACTGAACAACAACAACACTAATGAATGGTCTGCAAAATACAGTGCTGAGACAAAAAGGAAGGGAACAGAATGGGTTTAAGACAGAGCGCCACTATGTAAATTAAAAATGCGTACAGTTCAGAGAAACTGTCACCACCAAGAGGGTGGTGAGCCTAAGGAGATATGACAGTAAATACAATGTGGGATCCGGGCTGGGATCCTGGAGGACAAAAAGGGAGAAGGTAAAAATCAGGGGACTCTGAACAGAGAAGGGATTTGAGTTAATGACAGGGTATCAATAGCGGCTCATTAACTGTGATAAATGTACCATATCAATAATAGAGGAAACTAGTGTGTGGGATGGGGACCTCTCTGTCCAATTTTTGAGAAAATGTAAGACTCTTTTATATGCTATTGACACTAGTTATAAAATAGATGACTGATGAGAACCTAAAGTACAGCACAGGGAACTCTACCCAATGCTCTATGGTGACCTAAATGGAAAGGAAATTCAAAAAAGAGGGAACATATGTATATGCATGGCTGATTTACTTTGTGTACAGCAGAAACTAACACAAAATTGTAGAGCAACTATATTCCAATACAAATAAATTTTTAAAAAGCTGTTGTAAACAATACTGTCTTTTTTTAAAGAAAAAAAGTGCACAAAGCAAAAGCAACACTATACGTTTCCCAGAAACACCAAGCATTGGAATGACGGCCTTTGGGGGCAGCAGGCAGTGAACAGGGAAGGGTAAGGGGCCTAAAAGAAATCACGAGGAGCACAGGCACCAAGGTGGCTGCAGGCCTTGGGTTCCAGGGCCAAGCCCCCAGGCCTGATGCAAGACTGCAATCAGGGAGAAGGTTGACATGAAAGCCCCTCCCCCGTCCCCAAGGAAGCGAGGAGATCCAACCAGTCAATCCTAAAGGAAGTCAACCCTGAATATTCATTGGAAGGACTGATGCTGAAGCTGAAACTCCAATACTTTGGCCACCTGATGCAAAGAGCTGATTCATTGGAAAAGACCCTGATACTGGGAAAGATTGAAGGCAGGAGGAGAAGGGGGCGACAGAGGATGAGATGGTTGGATGGCATTACCAACTCAATGAACATGAGTTTGAGCAAATTCCATGAGATGGTAAAGGACAGGGAAGATGGTGAAGGACAGGGAAGTGCTGCAGTCCAGGGGGTCACAAAGAGTAGGACACAACTTAGCAACTGAACAACAACAATCCCTGTTCCCAGCAAGGGCAAAAAGACAGTGGTGGTACCCCAACCGCATACACACACCTATGAGGTCTCAGGAAAATTCCTCCCTCCTCTCGGCATCTAGAATCAGGCTACTCAGAGGATCAGGGGCTCAAGACCAGGGTACCCCCTCTTCCAATGGCAGCTGTGACAAGAACCCCTGTCTCTTGTGAGTCTGAGTGTCAGTGTTAAGACCATCGACTCCAGGTTTTATCTTTATATAAATAAATAAGTCACAAGAAGGACCTTTGCACACCAATGATGATAATGGGCCGTGACTGAGAACTGTGATGAACTCAACTCTGCATCAGTGGTACCCAAACGCATAACTTTGGAAAAGAGAAGGAGTGGGGTGGAAATAAAGCAAAACACTGCGAGAGAGTAGGTCAAGATGGCTACATGAGTGGTAGAGGCTCTGATGACAGAAGGGGCTTGGGGGAGGCCGAGTAGCTTGGAAAGGCCCCGAGAAAGAAGAGTTAACTAGACCTGAAGCCAGGGTAAGGGGCCAGGAGGGAAGCACTCTTGGCGAGTACACAGCAGGGACAACAGTCCAGGACACAGCCCACTTGACCACAATCAGAGGCACCAAGTGAGCTCTGGGTTTCCAGGGGGGAAGGTCGGCACGCCCACAGCAGGGGAGCTCCAAGCAGCGCCCACCAAACACTCGTCAGTCCTAAGAGCTAGCTCTGGGCCCCCCCCAGCTGAAGCCAGCAAAATCCAATAGCAATCAAAATAAAACATGCTGGGGGGCAGCAAAGATGGCAGCCCACTAGAAGCAGTGCAGTTACATTTGAATTTCAGATTAGCCACAAATAATATTTGAGTAAAGCATGTCCCTAATGGGGCTCCCTCAGTGGCTCAGTGGCAAAGAACCTGACTGCCAGTGCCAGAGACACAGGCTTGATCCCTGGGTCAGGCAGATCCCCTGAGAAAGAAATGGCAATCCACTCCGGTGTTCTTGTCTGGGAAATCCTACGGACAAAGGAGCCTGGCAAGCTACAGTCCATGGGTTCGCAAAAGAATCAGACATAACTTGGCAATTAGACACAACAAATACCCTCAATATTGCATGGGACACACTGTTGCTTAAAAAAAAAATTATTTGTTTTTAATCTGAATTCAAATTTAACTAGGTATCTTGAATCTTTATTTGTTAAATCTGGCAACTCTCAATAATAACAACAGCAGTTAATACTGACTTGTTACACCTTCAGATACTTCTAGTTGTCAGGTTTCTTCTTCATCATAACCCAGTGAAGACTGTAGTGTTATTCCCTTTTTACAGACAAAGAAACTGGGATTCCAAAAGATCAAGCCACTTGCCCAAGGTCATGAGGCTGACAGATGCCTGGCCTGGGATGTAGACATCTGTGTTAAGACTCCAGAGTCCACCTCTGGGGCAGGCTGCTGTCTCCCAACTCAGCAGGGGCACAAGGCCCAGGCCTCCGCGGCCTGAGCCTCCCTGACTCCCTGACACACAGGGAAGGCACAGCCTCCCACAGCAGTGATGCCAAGAGCTCCTTTCCCAGCTCTCAAAACATGCCTCGAGAAACCTTCCAACCAGACTCCAGAGGCACCAAGCAAGTTCTGGGTTTCCCAAGGTGAAAGTCAGCATGCCCCACAGCTGGGGAGCCCCAAAGCAGCCTTTAAAGAGCACACGGGCCCTCCACTGGCGCAAAGAAAAACGCTAGAAGGAGCTCCTGGCTTAAGAGTGGATAATCAGCACAGGTCAGCACAGTCAGGGTCAGAGCCGGGTCATACACCATCCTGCCTGGGGACAGAAAAATGGATGAATGACCTCTGGGGATGTCCCTTCCCCTTTGGGGATGGCGTTACTGTGAAACTTACAAAACAGGTATCTGATGAGAATGTCAGCCCATCCTTCAGCATGACACCCTTTTCTATAGTCATGAGTATTTATTGAGCACCTACTGTGTACCAGACACTGTGCTGGATGTTTTCATTGGCCCGTCTAATAACGGGGCATGTAAAACTACAATCCTGCAGAGTGTCTATCTGCAAATGAGGAACCTGAGACTTGGGGAAGTCATTTATTCAACTAACGCTAGTTAAGTTCCTATATATGCCAGACTCTGTCCAAGGTGCTCAAGATACAGCAGTGAACCAAACAAGACCCCTGCCTTCATGGAGCTGGGAGGGGCAGAGATGAAAAATAAATCTACCATGCTATTTCAGGTGCTAAGTATGATGAAGAAAAGTGAAGCAGGGTCAAGGTACAGAATGATAGGGGTGGGGGGTACTTTATCTAAGACAGTCAGGGAAGATGTCTGAAGGAGGTAATATTCAAGCAGAGGTCTGAAGTGAGGGGCTGAGCATGCACAGGTCTGAGGAAGGGAGACCAAAGCAGAGATGACAATCCATGCAAAGGCCCTGAGGTAAGAGTGATGAAGACACAACCGAGATAAGGCCAGTGGGCTGGAGCCAGCACCGGAGAGTGGGAGGGGTAGGAGGTGAGTTTGGAGGGGATGGCAAGGGCCAGTCATCTTTAAAGGATCGTGTGGTATGAAGAAATGGATGGAGAAGTGAGTGAAGAAATGGATGGAAGGATGGATGAATAGATGGATGGATGGAAGTATGAATGGGTGAATGGACAGACAGATGGAGAGATAAATGGATTTATCTGGTCAGAGGTCAGAATACAGATAGCTTACAAGCTGATAAAATATGTCTGATGTTTCATTCCCAAATAACCAACTCCCTGGGAGTCCCAGGCAAGGACTTTTCTTAATAATGTAAGTCTCCTAGACAGAAACTTCGATCCAAAGCGCAACAGGCAAATCAGGTCTTCATTCCAAGGAAAGCATTACAAAGGCCACAGGATGGCGAGCCAGGAAGAAATGCCTTGCCTTCTATCTCTAACTTCCATCTTTATCTCTAAGCCAACTTCCAGATGGGCGCCCACCACCAGCACCACTGGCCCCACCAGCACCTCAACCAGAACGCTTCCTCAAGTCCCTGAGCAAGAAAATCTGGTTTGCCCACCAGAAGGAAAGAAAAACAGCATCCCAGACGCCAGAACAGAGCCAAAGGCTTCTTGCACGTGGCCCGATGGCCAGGAACCCAGCCCAGCACGGCCATCGCACCCCAGACCCTCGGCCACCTGCCCAACCTCACCTCCAAGTCCTTCTCCAGCTCCAGCCCGGCCTCCATCAGGTTGTGCTCAAACTCCTCTCGCTGCTCCTTCCTCTCCTCCTCCAGGGCGTCGAGCGGCCCCAGCTCGATGTCACCCGGAGCCCCTGCCTGGGGGTCCTTGCCCGTCTCGCCGTTGGAGACGATAGCCAGCGAGTGGCCCGGGGAGCCGTGGCCGGGGTGCGCCCCACGTTTCCGGTAGTGGTAGGCAAGCACATAGTCCACCTTCCTCTGGTTGTCATGGAAGTGCATGCGGCTCACGCGGGCCTCCGAGGACACCGGCTCACTGGCCTCCAAGTAGTTGTTGATGACCTGGCCGGAGAAAAGGGGATGCGGAGCAGTGACATCCAGTGAGGGAGGGGCGAGAGGCGCGGGAGGCTGACCTGGCACTCTGGGACCCGGGAGGGGGACGAGGAGGCCAGGCCCTCACCGCGAAAGGACAGAGAGGCCCGAGTTCATCGGCCACGGCTGCCACTCTTCCACCCCAGCCCTGGGTCTAGCCCCGGCCGACAGATGCGGCACACACGCACGCTCACGCACACAGACGCACACTCAGCGTGAACCCCGCGCATCCCACCGCCCACCTCCTTCCGCGCACCAAGCCCCATTCCAGCACATGCGCGCAGGCGGGCACTCGGCCTTACACCGGCACACACTGCGCACACCTGCGTCACCAGCGCACGCTCTGACACGCAGGTCCCCCCGCATGCACCACGACACCCCTGCCTCCTCGCAGAGCTGCAGGCCAGCCTGCAAACACGCCGTACTCACCGGCAGGCTCTCTGGATCCATTGGAACAAAGGCCGGTTTCTAGCTGCCTGGCCCACCCCACTCCCACCCCACGGGGGATTCACTGTCCACTCTGAGCCTCACAGCGCCACATCCTCCTCTACCCCCTCTCCGTCCTCCCCAGCCACTAGCGAGGACCCTGCCCGAGAGGCTGCGGTCCGCTCCAGTCTGCTCCCGAGGCAATGGGAGGTTGAGAAGAAGAGGAGACAGAACGAGGTGGAGCCAGGGGAGGGACCTGCCTCCCGCTTTGGGTGTTTCCCTGTTTATTACCAGTCTGATACCCAGCTGCCTCCGCAGCCACCTGAGGTCACCTGGGCAACCAGATGGAGCGCCAGGCACAGGGGAGAGCCTCAGAGGCTCCCCAGCTGAGGTCTGGCTCCTCAGACCTGAGGGAGGGGGCCGGGGAGCCTGCAGGCCAATGGGCAGGGCCACTGGGCCTCTTACACCTCCGTCTTCCCCATCCTCCTCTGACCAGGGGACCCAGTGCTATTAGGGCAGCGTGCCATCCCGTCTTGGAGAGACAGGGGATGAAGGGGGCCTAACAGAAACCCCGCCCCCACACACAAACCAACAACACACACCCCCATGCCTCCGAGTGGAGGGCGCCCCACAGGCCCGCCCATCCACATGCCCCAGTACTCACGGAGCTGTTGGGGGGGCTCCCTCCGCCAGACGCCTGGCCGGACCCTTGGGGGACACTGCTCTGCAGACGCTGGGCTGGGGGACCCGGCACCTGGAGGCACTGCTGTCCATGTTTGGGGCCCTGACCCCCTCTGACCACGGTCCGCGGGCTCAGCCGGCGTGGGGAGCCAGGGAGCAGGGGGATGTCTGTGAAAGACAAGGGCACGGAAGGACAGCTGCTTCAGGGGATGGGAAAGCATGGATGCAGGACCCAGAGCAGCTGAGGCGCTGAGCCTGGGACCCCAGGGCAGCCCTAAGAACACAACCACACCTCCCCACAGCTGCCCACCGCACCCCCACCCCCAGCCAGTCCTCACAGGCTTAGCTAGCCAGGCTCACATTGGCCATAGGGGAGGGGGTGGGGTGTTCCCATCACACACACACACACACACACACACAGCCTAGAGCCGCCAGCAGTAGCTCCCTCTGATGATGACTGTCATAATCTCTTCTGGTTCCCAGACGCTAGGAGGGCAGTTGCTTGGAGGCAGGGTGGGTGGGGCACTGCTGGAGAGAAACCCTGAATTAACGCCAAAGGTTTAGTCTTTAGGGTCCTTCCCAGGGCAGCAAGAGAAGGGGGCACCCTGGCAGCCCCTACACCCCTGAAGAAGAGAGCCTGACAGACCAAAAGTGGGCTCAGGGCAGGGGTGACCTCTGACCCAAGGGCCACCTCCGGGGCCCTCTTGGGGTCTCCACACCCCTGCTGCCCGCACCAGGCCTCACAGCTGCCCTGTCTCTCCTTCCCCCCATACCCCAGAGCAGCCCTTCAGGGCACCAGGGCTGACACCCAAAAAAAATAAAAAGTGGTTATGATCATTGGTCTTATTCTTTTCATTTTAAACTTAGTGTGAGCAGAAATCACACCTTATACATCCAGCCTGTAGCTCAGTCGGTAAAGAATCTGCCTGCAGTGCAGGATACCAGAACTCGTTCCCTGGGTCAGGAAGATCCCCTGGAGACAGGAATGACAACCTACTCCAGTATTCTTGCCTGGAAAATGCTATGGCCAGAGGAGCCTGGTGGGCTACAGCCTATGGGGTCGCAAGAGTCGGACCCCATGGTCCGACTTAAAGACTAAACGGATGGACGGAGTTAAACATTAAATGTTAAACTTAACAGACAAGTTAATGACTAACCACAACCTAGCCCTTAGCACCTGCTGAATAAAGGAATGAATGAATGGACCAAAGGCAGCTATTCCCAGTCACTTAGAGCTTCTGGTCAGTTACTGGGTTGAGGAGCAGCCCCGTACACGTGCCCAGGTCTCTGCTGGGCAGTTTCTCGAGGACTGGAACTTGGGTCCCTGCGCTTGAGAAATGTATCAATATCATCACTTTGTGAAGATATTGATGATATGCAGAAACACAGTTACAGCCAGCAAGTAAAGATTCCAAAATTTGTTTCTAGACTGTGGACTTTGGTCTATATTGAGGGAACCAGAAAGGTGGAAAGTCAAAGTAGCTTCAGGAAGGGTAATAAGCCTGAATCTGAGTCTTGAAGCATCTGGAAGGCAGGGGACAGAACACCAAGAGGTAGGAGTGGGCATGTGTGCTGGTAGGGGGGGTGGGGGGCCTCCAGTTTAGGATATCAGGGGAGGGGCTTCCTTCCTCCAGCCCCGGTCTTGCTCATCCCTCTCCCCTTGTGCATTTCTGCCCAGATCAGAACTGAGAGCAAGACTGTACACCCCGGGGTGTGTAGCTAAACACATCCTAAAAACCTCCATGTATGTCTAAACAACCAGAGACCATCCTGATGAATACCTGGGCAGGTGATACAGCGGATGTGCACTCAAGGTCCATCTTCCTTGACAGCATTCAAGGAATGAATTCACACGAGTGACCCAGGTGGCTCAGATTAAGAGGCAGCCCAAAGCCTTAGTCACACCACTGTCTGGGAGCCACCATCCCCTAAAGGAGCCACAGGGGATTTGAGGCTGGCCTCCAGGGCCCACTGGCCACCCTGGCCACTCCCTCCACTGATATATGGATCACTGCTGCCTGGAGCCCTGCTTTCATGCCCACCTTCTCCCATAATCAGTGATTAGAGAACAGCGTGTAGTTGAGCTGTTCCAGATCCAGAAAGACATTCCAGGCAATAATGGCATTTTAGAGACTCTCCTGGGCTTCCCTGGTGGTTCAGACAATAAAGAATCTGCCTGAAATGCAGGCTCAATCCCTGGGTGGGAAGGATTCCCTGGAGGAGAAAATGGGAACCACTACAGTATTCTTGCCTAGAGAATCCCATGGACAGAAGAGCCTTGCGGGCTACAGTCCATGGGGTCACAAAGAGTTGGACACAGCTGAGCAACTAACACACACACACAGAGCTCTCTTTGCAATACGACTCCATTTTTATTTCCCTTCTTATACCATTCGCTTGGCTCTTTGCACAAACGGCCTTGAATAGGAGATCCCTGGGTGTTTGTGACTTAGCCACACTCCTGGGCTCTGGTGGGGGGCGGGGGGTGATACTGTGATTTATTGTAAAAACAGATAGTTTGGCCTTTGTTCTGTACCTGCTACAGAGCTCCTAAGACCCTCAGAACTTCCTAAGTATGGAGAGCAATCAAGGTGTCTTTTGGGAAGCTCCTCACTAACCTAAGAATGGGACCTGGTTGCTAGGGGAACTAACCTTGGGATGATAGGGTGGGCCTTTCAGTCTCCCCTCCCCCTTCCTCCCCCTGCCCTCCTAGGAGGGTTCAGGGCTGGAGATTGAGCTTAGTCACCATTAGTGGCCGGAAACTTAATCATTTGTGCCTGTGTAATGAAGTGCCCCAAAAGGATGTATTATAATTAGTCATGCCCCCATAATGAAGCCCCCAAAAGGATGGAGTTCACTGAGCTTCCAGGTTGATGAACAAGTAGAGATGTGGGAAGAACAACACATCCAGAGGGCATGGGATTCCAGGTCCTTCCCATGTATCTTGTCCTCTGCATCTCATTCATCTGGCTCTTCCTGAGTTGTATCCTATCCTTTCATAATAAACCAGTGATCTAGTGAGTAATGCTTCCCAGCTGGCTCAGTGGTAAAGAACCCACCTGCCTATTCAGGAGACGCAAAAGACGTGGGTTCAATCCCTGGGTTGGGAAGATCCCCTAGAGGAGGGCATGGCAACCCACTCCAGTATTCTTGCCTGGAGAATCCCATGGACAGAGGAGTTTGGAGAGCTACAGTCCAAAGGGTCGCAAAGAGCTGGACATGACTGAAGCAACTGAGCATGCATGCGTGTATATATGTATATGTGCAACGGAATATTACCCAGTCATAAGAAAGAATGAGACAATGCCATTCATTAGCAGCGTCATGGATGGACCTAGAGATTACCATACTAAGTGAAGTAAATCAGACAAAGAAAGACAAATATCATATGATATCACTCATATGTAGAGTCTTTAGAAATGAGATAAATGAGCTTATCCACAAAATGGGCTTCCCAGGTGGCTCAGTAGGTAAAGAATCTCCCTGCAATGCAAAAGGACACAGAGACACAGGTTTGATCCCTGGGTCAGGAGGACAGAAGCAGACTCACAGACACAGAAAACAAACACAGGGTTACCAAAAGGGAAACGGGGTGGGGGAAGGATAAATTATCAGTTTGGGATTAGCAGGTGCATACTACCATATATAAAATAGATAACATGGTCCTACTATGAGCGCAGGGAGCTATGTCCAATATTCTGTGATAAACCATAACAGAAAAGAATACGAAAAAGAGCAGGTGTGTATACACATAACAGAATCACTCTGCCGTGCATCTGAAACCAGCACAACACTGTAAATCAACTATACTTCAAAAATAAAAAGACGATAAGAAGCATTTGAATCTGTTGGCTAGCTACCATCACTCCAGCTCACCATTCATTCATTCACACATTCAAAACCATTTAATAACCACATACCACACAGTTTGTCCTGCCCTGGATGCTGAAACTTGAAGATCTCAGAGTCTACTTGGGGAGACAAATGGTCTAAATCTGTAACTTTGATATATAATAAGGGAACTATATCACAGGAAACTTACCAGTTTTGATAGGCCCCATGACAGAGACTTGGGCTCCCCTGGTGGTTCAGACAGTAAAGAATCCGCCTGCAATGGAGGAGACCCAGGTTCGATCCCTGGGTCAGGAAGATCCCCTGGAGGAGGAAATGGCAACCCACTCCAGTATTCTTGCCTGGAGAATTCCATGGACTGAGGAGTCTGGTGGGCTATAATCCATGGAGTCACAAGGAGTTCGACATGACTGAATGACTAACGCTTGCTTACATGGGCAGTAATTCAGCCCACAGAGATACCATCCACACTCATACTACAGAGCCTTGTTCAAACTTCCCCCAACTTGACAGACAGCTCAACTGCCTCATACCTGCACACCCCAGGTGGGGAGAGATACTCAGAGGTAGGGACAGGATATCATCTTTGGCCCTCACTGCTGCCTGGCACATAGCAGGTGCTCAAGGAAAGACTGGATAAAAAATTGAGATGCAGAAAAGAAGAGCAGAGAGGGATTTCTGGTCAGTTGTCTCTTCTGTGCTTTGTGGTGTGGAATTTTGGAGCTTTGGGAGTGTAAAAAAATTGAGAGGATTTGTCACCAGCAGAATCTCATTTTAAGGAATGAAAAGAATAGATGTATGTGCATGTATAACTGAACCACTCTGCTGTTCACCTGAAACTAATGCAGCATCATAAATAACTCCACTCCAAAATAAAAGAAAAATTTTATTTAGAAAAAGAAATGCCAAAGGATGTTCTTCATGATGAAGGAAAGTGACAACAGATAGGCATTTGGATAAGAATTGCTCCTGATGGGAGAGTCTTGTATTCCTTTCTTACAAAGGCGAGGAAAAGAGATTGTAAGTCATTGGTCAAAATGGACTATTGGTCAAATGGACTATTGGTCAAAATGGACTATTGGTCAAAATGGACTAAATTTTCTACATGCAACAAGCCATTGTGCATCGGTGCTCAGTCGCTCAGTTGCTCAGTCATGTCCAACCCTTTGCGACCGTATGGACTGTAGCCCAACAGGCTCCTCTGTCCATGGGATTTTCCAGGCAATAATACTGGAGTGGGTTGCCATTTCCTATTCCAGGGGATCTTCCCAACCCTGGGGTCAAATCTGCATCTCCTGCACTGGCAGGTGGATTCT